TCACAGTTAAAGCTCAGAGGATGTGGGAGAACTCCTGAAGTCCCACTGCTTACTTTTCTTTTCTTTTTTTTTTTTTTAAAGAGAGAGAGAATTTTAATATTTATTTTTTAGTTCTCGGCGGACACAACATCTTTGTTGGTATGTGGTGCTGAGGATCGAACCCGGGCCGCACRCATGCCAGGCGAGCGCGCTACCGCTTGAGCCACATCCCCAGCCCCCCTACTTTTCTTAATAAATTTTTTCCTCATGGAGGATAAATATGTGGGAGCCATGAGTTCTTGTGCCAGGTCTTTTGGAACAATACTAAGAAGACACGATCAGGTTCCAGGAACAGCCTGATTACACCAACTGGCAACTGATTTAGTCCATCCATTTCAGAACATGCTCATAGCCAGGGGAGCAGATCCACTGGCCATCTGAGATAGGTCAGATGAGCCCTATCAAAAAATGTTTTTTAAAGGCAAAGGCAGACTTAGAATCCCTGTGGAAAAAGTTAAACACGCTCCATACTGGAAAACCCAAACACCCATACAGAGTAAATGACATATCTTCCAAGAAGCCAGGGGCTGTCTGAAATCGGCACTTGCACTAGCCAGGTTCCTACCTCYGCCAAGGGAAGGGCAACTTCCAGCCCACAAGGCATATTTCTAAACACAAACATATATACATGCACGCATATATGCAAACAGTTTTGACAAAGGGCAAAAAACCTGATTCAACTTTTCTAACATATGCCCACCCTTAGGCAAAAGAGGAGAAAAAGGGKTTTTTTTGTTTTGTAATATCACAGAAAAGTCAACGAGGTCTATGGTAGTTTATCTGTTGTCATACAAACTTTTACTTTCTTTCTCTCCTCATCCCTAACAAGACATGTGTCTCTCCAGGTCTTACAAAAAGCTACGAGACTGACCATCAGAGACAGCAGCGTTAGTATAAATTTCAACCATTATTACATAAGAAATTAACCTTTGCTTTTAAAGTTGATTTATTTTTTAATCTTTGAAGAGGGCACAGCTCTAAAGGGTGAGTTCACACAATACTTTCACTTCTGTTCTTGCTTTCCATTTGGAGAGGCAACTCTGATACTGCTATTTGTGTTATCGTGATGCCCAATTAAAAAGCTCTTATTGTACTTGAAATGTCTAAGGTAGGCAGGCTTGGGATTCTTTTCTCTCAAAGACTTACCCATCTTCCACCCACAAGAAACTGGCCCTCACTTGTAGAGAAATGACCCATACAACCTTTCCTAAAATAACTTTTAACATTTATTTTCATGAAATAAAGGGGGAAAGTCCTTTAGCAATATGAAAAGTAATACTGTAAGTGAAGATTCGATCTGAAGTCCATTTTGGCCTGGAAACCTTTTACTCTGGGGACTCATGTAGAAATTTTAATCAGGCTAAGGAGACCCAGATGAGTTCTAGCTTTTTTTTTTTTTTTTTTTTTTTTTGGTGGTGCTGGGGATTGAACCCAAGGCCTTGTGCATGTGAGGCAAGCACTCTACCAACTGAGCTATATCCCCAGCCCAAGTTCTGGGCTTTTAAAAATTGTCTTGAAATAATTTCTGTTCTTCCCATTTTTCCTCACAAAAACATTGGGTTTTTCCAAATGTTTTAATACTTAATGGGAGGTGAATCCTGTTAAGGATTCAGCCACAATAGCAATAATAAACTTGTCTGTCCCACTCAGCCAGTGTGTTCCCAGTTGATCCTCACCCCTGGGCCATTCCAGCTTAATAGAACTGACGAGTGTACAAAACTTRGGCTAGAGAAAAACACTAAAAATATAAAACTCTGAGGGAAGCAGAGAGGGGCAAAACTTCTAACACGTTCTTAAAAGCAGAGATGTTAACGTTCTCTTAGAGAAACTACAACTGCCAATAACCTAGTGTGCCTAGATAATTGTAGAGAAACATTAAGAACACCTTGAACTAAAAGAAGGGCTTACCTTTGCTGAAATGAGAAGCAGTTCTGTCTCCACCTGCCTATTAAAATGCAGGTGCTAAGTCTGAATATCTTACAAGTATCCCTCCCAAGTTCCAGCTTTTAWCTGGGATATTTGAGTTTTGCCCACCAAAACTGCAAATTAGAGGCCAACGATGTTAGGGTAGCTGGCACAGATATCCATGAGAGACMCAGCTCTGAGTTCAAGCAAAGGTTTACTGACAGAKAGTATCTTCCAGGCTGCTCTTCTATAAGGTGCAGCCAGCGGTCTAGGGACCTAACAAAAGTAGGTCCAACTTTCTAATATCTCCTTCATGATATAACAGTACAATAGTCAACTCAGAAAATACAAACTAACTGTTGGGCATGTGTCATCACAAGGTTAGGTGGCTTTATATTGCCTCATGGACAAATTCCTTAAAAGTTCTGTTGTTCTGGTGGATAATGTGCTCACTGTTCAATACATAAAGGTTCTCCAGATCCCAGAAGTTTTCTACAACTGAATACACACTGTCTCTACCAAAATTTTTGAAAATTTTCATAAGACCTTATTAAGGGTCTAACCTCACTRTAGCTAAGATGCTCATTCAGCAAAGGGTATACAGTTTCCTGCTCCTGAATGCATAACTAACTGCACTGTCCCCATCTCCTGGAAAAAACAAACAGCATGAAGACAGGCCTGGTACACTGAACTTCTGCATACTTGATGACTATGTAAACTCTGGCCCATTGCAAAACCAGCTCTAAGCTTGAGGCTCGAACTCCTATATCTCCATCTAGCTCCCAAGGACTGGACCTCACTGAAGTGGTTCTCAGCGGGGATCCCTGGACCACCAGCAATAGCACCTGGGAARTTATTAGAAATGCACATTCTCAGGCCCCAGCACTTCTGGAGGTGAGGYCTGGCCCCCAGGTGACTGATGCCCTCAAATTTGAGAACCACTGTGGCAAGTTGTAGCTATCAAACTGTTTGTACCCTCARAGCCTGAAGGTGGCACTAAAGGCCAGCTGGAAGAAGGAAGGGAGGGAGCTCAAGTTTTAAGTGCTCCAGAAACCAGGCCTTCCTCTTCTCCTCCCACCTGACCACACAGCATCATCAGTTCCCTAAGGGTTGTTCAGCTTCCCCAGTGCTGAGGAACTGAGACAAAATTCTTCACCACCCGTCAGTAGATATTTTAAATCAGTAGATATTTTAAATTTTCAACCTTCAGGAATACGTTCAATATTTAATTATGGGGGGGGGGTGTCCAATATAATGAAGGCACAAATACACTTTAAGAATGAAAATGTCAATACTCAGTAAACAGACAACAAAATAAGAAATTCGAATTATTATCAGCAATTGCATGTCATACTAATAACAATGCACTTGATTCTGAAAGATTAGAGTTCTTATCCTAAACATCTAATTGTACTGATGTGACAAAAGTGAAATGAAAGTAGGATTTTTTTCTTTCTTTTTTTAAATGAAAAGCATGTATATACATCTAACCCTTTGCTAGACTCAGTCAAAATCCTGAATATTGCAGCAGTAACTTTGATGCTCTGCTGGTGGGAGTGCAGATCGGTACAACCACTTTGGAAAACCATTTGGCAGTGCCTACTAAAGCCAAATAAATATGCAAGAACCTAGATCCAGCCATTCCACTCCAAAGTATATACCCTAGAGAAATGAGTCTCCATGTCCACACCAAGGGCCTCACAAGTATAGTCTTAGAAGTACAACTTATACAAGTTACAAACTGGAAACAATCCAAACGTCATCCTCAGTAAAGGAGACAAATAGCATGGGTATTTATATCATGAACCAGAAGCAGCAATGAAAAAAACCAACCAACYAACCAAAAAACTAATGCACTGGTACCCACAACACAGGCACATCTGATAGATACAATGGTGAGTGAAAGAAGCCAAAAACTGAAGGGAAGCTAGTATCCAAATAGGCAAAACTAATCTCTGGTGAGAGAGGTCAACAGAGACAACTGTGGATATCTAGTGGAGGCACCTAGAGAAGTTCTACTTCTTGACTTGGGGCACAACAGATGAAAAGTTRGGTGAATTACAGTTAAAATCCCTATATTTTACTGCATGTACATTATAACTATTTACAAAGGGGTGGGAGAATTAAGCATATATGCAAAATATATTGACTTACTGCCATGTAACTGTGTCATATCAGTGTATATTTACATGTGTATAGTTACATGTGTATAGTTACATGACTTACTGCCATGTAACTGTGTCATATCAGTGTATATTTACTGCAAAAATACAATGCATTTGCTAGTCTAAATCTCGACATTAAATATAATGAACAGGGGACTTTCCTTCTTTCCAAAGTTATACTATCATACGTATGTGGCATTTGTATGCAGCATTTACTCTGCCGCTTAAAGGGTCCCTCTTCCTGTGGCACCGACTATCCACCCTTCCATCCCTCCTCCACCCACTTCCCTGCATACCCTGGATGTCTTGTCACCGTGCACAGAGAGGAGGACTAAGGGCCTGGCTCTGGGGCTACTGTGGTCATTATCCTGCAGAGCTATGACCATCCTTGGCCTAACCATCACCCCCAACCAGCTTCCCTCTTGCTCGGCCATGCCAGGCCAGATCGAGGTAAGAGGCCCAGTAAAAACAGCAGTATCTGAGGCCACTCCGGGCCACCGGATCCCTGTCTCCGATGCACTAGGATGAGGATGCTACTCCAGTTGCTGAACTGGGGTCACGTGCAGGAACCTCCAGGGTACCGCAGGCACAGAGACTTGGAACCCACTGGCCCTCTGCAGGCGGGGTCGGCTCCCGCCAGCTCACTCGATCCAGGAGGATCAGAGTGGGTCCCTGGTCACTCCCACGTTTGAAAACCGCGGCTGGCTATAACACGTGACCAAGACGCGGTGCGGGGGTGTCCGGGAGAAGTCCTTCCGGCCCCCTGGGCAGGAGGGTTGGGAGCCGCGGGAGTTGGCGCGCGGAGTTTGCGCAGAGCGGACCGTCGTTCCGCAGTCGGAGCGCGTCCCCGCGTCCTCCCCGCCCGCTGCCGCGCCGGGCGGCCTCATTTACCTGGAACCAGGAATACGTGCTGCCGGGCGCGAGCCCCGTCCCCGCAGTCCACGCGCGTGGCCATGGCGCCCGCCTCCTCCGGGACGCGCGCGCGGCCACAAACCCGTAGCCACAGGCCCCAGCCCCCGCGCCCCGCCGGAAATGGCGGGAGGAGGGTCGACTCCGGGTGGCGCGGCGCGCTAAGGGACTGGCCGAGCCCAGGAGACGACCCACGGGTAGAATTCGGTTTCGTTTCCGGGACCAAACTGCGCTCGCTCGCGCTTCGTTTTTAAATTTAGCGCCAGGCCGAGGCGCCCGGATTAGCGGCGCGAGGCCGGGGAAGAGACGCTCGCCTCTCCCCTGCGCTTCTCCACCAGTGGTAGGTGCTCGCCGCGCCCCCCAGGGACAAGTGACGCGGCGGAGAGGGCGGCGACCCGGGGACGCAGTGGCGGCGGGCGGAGTCGCACAGCCCGACTGTCAGGGCGCTCTTGCGAGGTGGTGCAGCTGCCACGGTCCCTGCAGTGATGGGCCTGGAGGACAAAAGACGCCCACCGCACTGTGGGGACCGGGAGACTCCTAGAGCAACAGCTCTAAGGACAACAGTTGACACATCCGAATCTTATTGTAACCCAGAGGACTTGGCCTCTAAGTCTTGGTTGAACGTGTCTTGACATCAGTTAGGTCTGCTTTGGAATTAAAGTCAGAATGTTGTGTGCGTGGTGGTTTATAATGCACCCCCACAGCCCTCAAATCGGGCTTGCACTCATCACTTTAAAAAAAAAAAAAGTGCCATGCACAAGACCCTGGATTCAATCCCCAGCACCACAAAAAAAAAAAAAAAAAAGTTTGGGGCGCAAAATATGATTTTTTTTTATTTTAAAAAACTCTTTGTAATGAGTTAAAAATGACTTTTTATGAAAAAATTATGTTTAAGAAGTCGTGACCATGAAATGGGGGTTAAACTTTTAATTGAAAAATTAGTACCCGACACAGGGTTTTTAGAAAGCAGTAAATATTTCTGTGCCCCACTTATAGATCTCCAACATTTCCTTGTTTTTCCAGAATTTTCTCTTGCCAATACAAGTTCACGTTTATTTTTTGCACAAATGGGAGAATAATATGCATAACTCTTATGTATTTTGCTTTTCTTGTTTAATCCTGAAGATACTTGGATTCTGYACCACTTAGATCTAACTAAGTCATTTGAAAATATTTTTAACTTTAAGCTTGTTTCTCACAGGCTGACAAACGCATCTCAAATGGACTTGCAGGACACCAGTCCAAAGGAACAGCATCCTAATGCAGATTCTGGAACAGACAGCAGATTAGTACTGCTGTGACCTTCCCTGACACTGTAGTATAAACCCAAATCCCCATGGTGATTACTAAAACAGCTAAGGGAGAAATGCTACCCATGTTTCCCTCWCTCCACCATGTGTAGCTGGTTTCATTTTTCTCTCATCCTTTCCAGCTGTTGGCTGTTTGAGTATGTATTTTTATGTGGTTGTTTTCACAGTATAAAGACAATTTCGTCTGCTTTTCTCACTTAACATTGTCATAAAAAGGCATTGTATCCAGCACTGTCATTGTTAATGGAGGCATGTGATCTCACACTACTAATCTAAAGTTAGCCATTCTCTAGTGTACAATATTAAGATTATCTCAAACTTACTATAAATAATGTTTCAATATGGAYTATGCAGTAGTTTGAAAAAATTATGTTTAAGAAATTGTGATCATGAAATGGGGGTTAAACTTTTAATTGAAAAATTAGTACCGGGCACAAACTAGATGCACCTATACARTATGAATGCTTTATAGCAAAGGGGAAAAAAATAGATGCAGGAAATTATTTATAGCAAAGTACTATGTAGGTAAATTTAAAACATACATAAAACCAGTACTATATGTTTTACAAGGATACATGCATATTTAAGGTCATGTGTAAAACATAAAAATGGGTRTCTTTAAAGTGGAGGTAAATGAGACAAGAAAAGAAGGGCAGAAGAAATCAAATAAAAGAAGGCCCAGGCTCACATGGGCCACATTCATGTGGTATAAGAGTATAGTGAACTCTCTGCACCTTCTCTAAACAATTTCTTTTGTCTCTTGTTATGATTTGAATACACCCCTCCCCCCCAAAAAATGTGTTGGAAACTTACTTCCCAATGTTAAAGTGTTGGGAAGTGGGACTGATGGAAGTGTTTAGATCATGAGGGCTTAAAGGCCCTCACCAGATGCTGAGCCCCTATTTTGTACTTCAAGCTTCCTGAATCCAGAGCCAAATAAGTTTTTGTTCATTATGAATTACTCAGTCTTGGGTATTCTTTTATAGCAGCACAAAACAGACTTAAGAAAGTGCCCCCCTCACTTAATACATATCAAGTACCTTCTTGAAAGGGAGACCAGTAGTAGTGTGTGTACTGACTCTAGGTCCYTGTCATCCTCAAGGTAAAGTTCAAGGTACTAAGCTTTGAACACAACCCTTAAGATCTGGTCCTTGCTGGACTCTGCAGCCACAATCCCACATACCTCAGTCCTCTTCACATTCTGCCACAAAGAACTGCCTATGTTTCTGCCTTCTGTCCCACCCAGCACTTGACATTGTGTTCCCAATGCTGAGGGCCCCAGCTCTCCACTAACCTCTTGGCTAGTTCTCCCTTACCTATACATCACCACTGGGATGGCTTTAACTTATCCATCAAGTGTCACTTAGATAATGCCTTTTCCATATCCCCATTCCCCTCCTGCTAACAATGACCCCAAGAATAAGTGAGAAGTCTTGGTCTTCCTGTTGATYTCATGAGGTAGTAAGAGCCCCTTACTTCCTTGAAGGAAAGAGAGCATCTAGTAACTCACCACTTTATCTTCCAAAAATTTACAGTGGTTCTCTTTGAATACTCATTGCCAAGCCCTGCACTAATCTCTGACTGTTTCAACTCTCGAAACAGCCCTAAGGTCAAGTATTCCTGTGGTCACCCACATTGTACAAAGGACACAGTTCAGAGAAATGGATAATTATGATAGGACACCTAAAAAGTACCTGAGTTGGGCTGGGGATGTGGCTCAAGAGGTAATGCGCTCGCCTGGAATGCACGGGGCGCTGGATTCGATCCTCAGCACCACATAAAAATAAAATAAAGATGTTGTGTTCACTGAAAACTAAACAATAAATATTAAAAAAATTCCCTCTCTCTCTTAAAAAAAAAAAAGTACCTGAGCTAAGACTGGACCTTTAACCTTCCTTCCTCCCTCTCTGTTGTCCCAATGTCTATGGACACATATGTGGTGGGCAAATATTATTTTAATAAATATCTATGCCAACAGACTGCAGATGGGCAGTCATGACAATGGTCAATAACTTGTGGTATTCCCAGATTTTATAAAAAAGAACAAGCTGATTATATCCAGTATGTGATAAAATACTCCATAAATGAATTTTTATACTAGTCTGTACTAGTCACACTAACATACAAAGAGACAAGTAAGTCACTCTTCAGWGAATAAGAGGGAGCAGCAACCTTAATATCTCTGAGTAGAATCACAGGTGTCTGAATGCTGGGATTAATAACCATAATATAGGAAAAAACTCAAAAACTTAACACCAAAAACCCCAATACACAATAATTGGGCAAATATCTTAAGAGAGACTAGTCAAAAGAAGAAATACAAATGGCCAACAAACACATAGTAAAAAGGTTAAACATCCTTAGCAATCAGGAAGATGAAAATCACCTCAGGCAGAATGGCAATCATCAAGAATACAAATAATGATAATTACTGGGAAAACAAACATTTATACATTGTTGATAAGACCCCAAATGAGTACAACCACTTTGGAAAGCAGTATGGAGATTCCTCAAAAGACTAGGAATGGGCCCATATGACCCAGCTATCCTACCCCTTGATATGTATTCGGAAAAAAAAAATCAATATATTATAGAAATGCATGCATACCGAGGTTGATGGCACCACAATCCACAAGAGTCAAGTTATGGAACCAGCCTAGGTGCTCATCAATAGACTAGTGGATTAAGAGAATGTGGTATATGTACGTACACAATGGAATTCTACTCAGCCAGAAAGAAGAATGAAATTATGTCATTGGCAAGTAAATGGATGAAACTGGAGAACATCATGCTTAGTGAAATAAGCAAGACTCAGGAAGTCAAGTTTTCTCTCATGTGGAAGTTGGAAAAAAAGGAACTTAAAACGGGGGATTTCACAAAAATAGATGACCTTAGATCTTCCTTACATCAGTAAAGTAGAAGCACAGGGGATGGGGGACCAAAGGAAAGGATGGGGGAAGGAAAGGGGAAGAACTGGTGAATGAAGTTGACTAAGTTATAATTTGTGAATATATGAATATATCACAATGCATTCTAATTTTATATATAACTATAATGCACAAATTTAAAAAAATAGAAGACCAATAGAATAGAGGGAGGGGTTGGGGGAGAGGGGAATGGAGGAAAAGAGGAAGTACTGGGGATTGAATTGGAGCAAACTATGTTTTATGCATTTATGAGTATGTCAAAACGAATCCCACTGTTACATATAAATACAATTCACTAATTTTTAAAAAGGGAACAATAGATTAATTTTTTAGTGGGGAAGGAACTGTGGGCAGGGGAATAGTTAAGTGTCAAATGACCTTTAGCAATGCTTACTGGTGATCAGAGAGAAATAGAACTAAAGGTAGTGGAATTTTTTTTTTCTTCTACAGATTATTGAAAAGTTAATACTTCTTTCAAAATAAGATAAAAAAAATCCAATTTATTGGGAAAAAAARGTTGCTATCTTGTTTTTGTCCTGTTACTAAATGCTCCTCTAATGACAATGGAGAAAACAAACATGATCCTAAAGCGTGAGATGGAAAGCMGATCAGCCCTCCAAAAGGCAACTCTTTAGCCAGGGGACCAATAAGTAATAGTTGTTTTTCTGGGGAGAATATCATCTTCATGTTCTTTCTTTTCTAATTCAACTGCTGTGGTTTGGATCTTAAATGTCCACCAAAGGCTCATGCATTCAAAGCTTGGTCCCAAAGCTGATGGCACTATTGGAAGATGGAGGAACTTTTAGAAGGTAGGGCCTAATGAAAGGAAGTAAGTCACCAGAAATGAGCCCTTCAAGGAAATATTGGGACCTCTTTTTGCTCTTTTCTTCCCAGCTTCCATGAAGTAAGCAACTTTCCTCTCATAACCATTTCCTGCCATGATGTTCTGCTTCACCACAGACCCAAAGGCGATGGGGCCAAACAACTATGGATCGAAACCTCTAAAACTGTGAGCCAAAATAAATATTTTTTCTTTTTAAAGTCATTATCTCAGGTATTTTGTCATAGCAATGGAGAGYTAACACACCTACTTGGAGCTGAATTATACTTG